AAGATCGATCCTTTGAAACCCTTAACTTGAATCTCATCCCTAGACCCTTTCTTTTAGAATCTTTAAGTCTTATTTCATCCTTCGCTTGTTACCTGATAGCATCCTGGTCACTAGATTTGTTGTTCTTACGGTTTTAGACGAGATCGATCGTTACTGCTCGATCTAGTGGTCGATGTTGTAGTCGATCCACTAGTCGATTTTTAACAATTCGAACCTCTTTCCTTTAATCAATCTGTTTGTTTCTCGTGGTAGTTGCTTCCTTTCTAGTATTTTTAAAATAGGTTTCGTTCTGTTTAAGTTGCTGCATCTAGTTTTTAGTTAATTTCTCATAAACTATCTCATTCTGCTTAGATTTGTTTAGTACCTTGCATTCTTTGTGCATTATCTGCCTCCTAGAAATGGATTGACACTCTCCTGCTTGCCTTACTACAACACTGCATGCATTAGAGTTTTGATAACCTCTCTGCTGTATAAAACCTGCTTGAAAGTTAGTTTATCAGTCCTCAATGCACTATGCCATCAACTTTTATATATTATAGACTAGGTTTTTAATTCGCGCTACGTGCGAGTCTATATTAATGATTTGATTTAATTTTTTTTTTGGTTCATATCTTTTAAATTATAAAAACTATAGTATATTTATAGAAATTTTCTTTTATATAAAAAATTTAAAACATAATCTGTAGTTTTTCATATTTTTTGCTTAGAAAATTTAAAATCTTATTAAGTCTAATCATAGTAATGACACCTAACGAATTATTCAACTTCAACGTGCATATATTTGATTTAGAAAATAATTTTCTTACTAAACTTTTGGTATTTTGTCTTGTATCCTTAGGATTTTTATAGTTGTTCTTTTTTTAAGATTTTATATGTTTAAATATTTAGTTATTGATTAAATATCTCACTGATGTTGTGTAACTATGCATACATAATATATGATTCATGTTTATTCAGATTTACTTTTGTTAGGATGCTACAACAGTTGTGTAAAGCTTCTTCTGCTTCTCCTTCAGATCTTCTACGAAGTTTAGGTTATATCTCTATTTAATTTATTAAATCTGTTTTATTTGCAGTTAATTATTTGATAATTTTTTTTTAGAACATGTAAGATAGTGTGGAGTCTTCACATTATTTTTTTCTGTTTTTATCTTTTGTGTGTTTTATTCATGTTTTAATTTGAATAGTTTATATAGATATATTCCAATTTGATTCATTACATTGTCATACATTATTATTTAAATAAAATTTTAGAGAGTGTTACTCATGTGCTGTTCATGTTGACTAAATTATATGTAGTAGCTATGTATAAAAAATCAGACTTTATTACTTGTTATATTTCAAATGTAGAGTTACTTGTGTTATATTTTTTTGTTAGTTTTTAAATCAGACGTAGCCAAAGTATTAGTCTTTGTAAATTTAAATAATATATTTGATTTAGAAACTCATATAACATACTGTAATTTTGTATGGTTATTCATAGTGAATACCAATATTTTAGAAATCATAAATTTTCTGGAATTAAATTTCAAACTAATTTTCATTTTAGATTTTGTTTGTTTGTTATTTTACATATCTTTTATTAGTAATTTTATATATTATTTTAATTTATATAATTTTTTGCATGTTTGATATACTTAAAACATATATATTTTTAATTAAGCTATTTTGTTATTGATTTTCCAAATAAGTAGCATATTTATTAATTTATTTATTTTTACATAAGAGTTTTTTGTTATATTTAAGTTTTAATTAAAATATTATTTTGACATGCTATAACACGATATTCTAAATTTTATGTGGACTTATCTCAAAAGCTTATACCATCATTGTTTTATTAGTTCATAATTTTTATGTTGATTTTCCAAAATATTAGCCTAAATATCAAGATAATTTTACTTTATACGAATTATACCTTTGATAATATACCTATCTTAATACTGATTTATATTTTATTTTAGCACAAAATATTGACATTTTTGAAGACATAATTTTATTTTTTGTTATTTTGCTTGTTAAATTTTATTTATATTGATTTCTTAAGTAGTTGGTCATATATCAAGTCAATTTCTTTTTAGATGAATTTTTTAAATATAAAATTTTGTAAAAATTAATTTACTTTTTATTTATTGATTAATTAATTTTTAATACAAATTTTTTAAATAAGTAGCTTAAATATTTATCTTTTTTTAGTATGACTTATGTTTTTTTATTCTCTTACTTTTTTTAATACAAATTTTTTCTGGAATTAAATTTCAAACTAATTTTCATTTTAGATTTTGTTTGTTTGTTATTTTACATATCTTTTATTAGTAATTTTATATTTTATTTTAATTTATATAATTTTTTGCATGTTTGATATACTTAAAACATATATATTTTTAATTAAGCTATTTTGTTATTGATTTTCCAAATAAGTAGCATATTTATTAATTTATTTATTTTTACATAAGAGTTTTTTTGCTATATTTAAGTTTTAATTAAAATATTATTTTGACATGCTATAACACGATATTCTAAATTTTATGTGGACTTATCTCAAAAGCTTATACCATCATTGTTTTATTAGTTCATAATTTTTATGTTGATTTTTCAAAATATTAGCCTAAATATTAATATAATTTTACTTTATACGAATTATACCTTTGATAATATACCTCTCTTAATACTGATTTATATTTTATTTTAGCACAAAATATTGACATTTTTGAAGACATAATTTTATTTTTTGTTATTTTGCTTGTTAAATTTTATTTATATTGATTTCTTAAGTAGTTGGTCATATATCAAGTCAATTTCTTTTTAGATGAACTTTTTAAATATAAAATTTTGTAAAAATTAATTTAATTTTTATTTATTGATTAATTAATTTTTAATACAAAGTTTTTAAATAAGTAGCTTAAATATTTATCTTTTTTTAGTATGACTTATATTTTTTTATTCTCTTACTAATTTTTTTTATATTGATTTTGTTAAATAAATAGTATAGAAATCAAGTTAATTTCTTTTTTTTTTCTTTGTTAATTTAACTTTTTTGATATGAATTTTTATTTTAATTGTATTGACATGGTGTAAGAAACAATTTTTGTTTTATTTTTTGTTTTTTGTTAGTTAAATGTTTTTATCTTCAGTAAATAGTATAAAATATTATTTTTTGGTGAGTTAAGTTTTTTGTGTTGATTTTCTAAATAATTAGGCTATATATCAAATTTTTTGATGACTTTTTTTGTTAATTTAACATGCATTTGTTTTTGTAGTATTGATAGTTTTAAATAATAATTTTATATGTTTATATAACAATTTTAATATTTTTGTTAAATTAATTACTCATTTGAAATATATATGATAATTTATATTAACTTCCCATTATACTATGATAATTTATATATTTTGTGTTTTTAATTTATTTAAATTGTTAATCATATTTAATATTTTTTATGTTTAATAAAAAACGTTGATTTTGACCAATCAAATTGAGTTTCTATGTTCTATGTGGACGCTTTCATTAGTATAAAACATCAACATGAACCATAACTAATATTTTTTAAGTTAGTAGCTCAGATTATAATTGTCTATCATAATTAAATTTTTGAAATAGTTTAATGATGGTCTTAAATAGATTATTTAATTTTTTTTTTTAATATATATTATTTTTCTTTAATAATCTATTTATATGTTAAATTACTTTTTGTTGTAAATAGAAAAATAAGATCTACATTCTAACCTTTTTTTATTAATAACTAATTTAAAATTTAGAAAATTTTCTAATAACAACAAAAACGAAACTAATTAAAAATAAGAATTTTTTTAAATAAAAAACAAAATTAATTAATTTAATATATAATATATAATTAACTAAAGATAATGATGATATGTACCAATATAATTGAATCTTTAAATCCTATGTGGATACTCTTAGAGGCATTTAGCATCAACATTTATTAGTAACTAAGTGTTTCCCAGCACAAGGTGTGGGGTTCGATTAATTTTTAAAAAATTAACAATGTTAGTTTATTTATAGATGAAAAAATCAGATTTTATAATTATTCGAAATCAAAATTAATATATTTGAAAAATATAATTTTCATGAGTATATTTTTTGTGATAAAGCAAAATATTATATATATCTTATTTTTAATATCTTTTATATTATCCGATAAAAATTTATATTTATGTTTTGTTATTTTGTTGCATCAAACAAAACTTTCAATAATACCGTAACTTCGAATCTTCTACGACTATTTTTTTTTGAAAAAAAAGATTAGAAATCTAAAAATAAAATTGTAAAGAGAAACATACAGCCGTCGATTGATCTAGATTGTTTTGAAAACTTTGTTTTAATTGCAGATTTGAGATTTTACTTGTGACTATATAAATTAATTAGGTTAATCAAAAATATTAGTAGAGTAAACAATCAGATTAAAATTAGTTTAAAAAATAATAGGATTGACTTTTGTGATTTATGCTAGTTACCTTTTTTTAGCAAACTAAATATTTTTATGATATAAACTCGAATTTGAAAATCTAGATTAAAAAAACAAAAATTACTTATAAAATTAGATTATATTAATTTGTTAATTTCATTAAAGATAAATAAAGTATTTTCATATATAAAGGGCAAAGAGTAATGAACCATCATAACTCTTAATCACGGCCCAACTTGCTTTTCAATTAATAATAAGATAGATTGTCAATTTATTTTTTAAAAGTTACCATATAGTAATGTTTACTTGTTTAGTATGGGAAAGTCATTTATGCCAAATTCTTTTTAACAAATATAAAAAATAATTATCTTTAACCGAACTTAGGATTTAAGAAACAAAGTAATGTCAGGAAAACCCACAAATTTGGTGATGCAAACTTTAATAGTTTTATTGAATAGTCAATATCACATAAGCTAAAAACATTAGTAATCTCAAACAAACCACACCGTAATTTATATATTTCAATGGACAAAAATATCGTGAACATGTTAAACGACAAAAACCAAAGTGACACGTGTCATTGTTGGGCTAACGAGATGAGGTTGCTGTAACGTGTGGCCATCACACTTCTCTTTCTTCTTTCTTTCCACCACCTCCTTCTCTTCTTCGTCCTAATCTCTTTCTTTTCTCCGATCTCTATTTAACGTCTTCGACGAATCCGAAGATAAAATAACTAATCTTTGGTGTTGCCCACAAAAAATAAAGATCTTTCGTTTATCTTTTTCTTGTATGAAATTTTTGCATGAGAATCGTAAGCTTATCTCTCTCTCTCTGAGTTAGCTATGACTACTTTGACGAAGCTTCAAGTATACCCACGATGTTTGGAGCACCGTCTCGGATTCATGGATCAGAAACGGGTCGGATCAAGATTGAATTGTGGAGAACGTAAAAATAGGGTTCATGTGCATCGGTGTGAGAGTGATTTAGGGGAGACGAAGGTTGAAAGACGGAAAAAACGTGAGAAATTGAAGATAAAAGAGGGAAATGGGTTGTGGAATTCTCTGAAATCTGGTGTGTTAGGTGCTAGTAAGTTAGGGTTCTTATCAATAGATGAGTATAATCAGAAAGTTGCAAAATTAGAGATGGTTTTCTCTTCGGTAAGTCTAAAATTTCCCCTTTTTTTGAAATTTTCAATATTTTGATTCTTACATAGCTGCAAATTCTCACCATTTTTTGTCTAATTATCTGGATTTTCAAGTTTAAACTAAATTTGGATAGCATATGTGTTTAGGTTTACGTGTATAAATTAATTGATCTTTGTCCTCACAGCAATGAAAATTCTGACACTTTTTGCTCCAATCATTTCAGTTTCAAGCTTAATCTGAATTTAGCTTGTTTTACATAGCATATGTTTGGGTTTAAAGCTTTTTAAGTGTATGATTTACTTGATATTTGTTCGGACATAACTGCCAATTCTGAAACTTTATGCTTGAATTTTCTCTATATCTCAAGCTTAATCTGAATGTAGATAATTTTATAGCATGTGTTCAGTTTTAAAAGTGTATAAATGAATTGATATTTGTTCTCACTTAACTGCAATTCTTAAGCTTTGTACTCTAATTATCTCTATTTCTCAAGGTCAATCTGAATTTAGATAGGATTATAGCATATGTTTAGCAGCTTTAAAGCCGCTTGAAGTGTACGAGTTACTTTATCTTTGTTCTCAAAACATTGCAAATTCTGATCCTTTTTGCTCCAGTTATCTTGATTTTGACGCAAATCTGAATTTTGGATATGTTGATAGCATATAATTAGGTTTAAAGCCTTTTAAGTGTATAATAACTTGATTTTTGTTCTCATATAACATTGCAAGTTATAGCCTTTTTCGCTCTAATTATGTTGATTTCAAGCTTAATCTGAGTATAGCTATGTTTATAGCATATGTTTAGGTTTAGTGCTGCTTTATGTGTATTCAAATATTGGGTTTTTATTTTGTTTATCTATTTGCAGATTGCTGTTCAAATTGCGAGATACATTGTGACGATGACAAGCACTGGAGCTATTCTCTTGATTGGTTTTCAATTGTCAGGTTAGTAAAAAAAAAAACATTTTAAGAACCTTTTTGAAATATTTTTTAATTTGATTCGACTCAGTTGTGTGTATATATATGTTGTAATGAAAAGGTGGAGATAGTTCGATGAACTCATTGGTTTGGTATAGCTGGCTTGGTGGAGTCATCATTGGAACCATGACTGGTGCTAACATGGTTTTGGAAGATCATTACCGAGCCGGTCCACGCAATGTTGTTATAACCGGAAGGTAAGTTTGTTTGCCTTCTGTTACATTTTGTCAATTCTTGTTTTCCTCTGTGTTTTCTTTAATGCTAATGTGTGTTTTCTTGTAGCACGAGAGGACTAGGCAAAGCTCTTGCTAGAGAGTTTCTTCTCTCTGGAGATAGAGTCATTGTTACATCTCGCAGGTAGTAACTTTAAATTTGATATATGGATTAGTTTTTCTCAAGAAATGGAGCCTTATGCTCTGTTTGTTTTTGTGAAATAAGTTCTGAATCCGTCGATATGACTGTCAAAGAGCTTGAGCAAAACCTCAAAGAGATTATGAGTAATGCTAGTGAGTCTGCTAGAAAGAAATTAGGTGCTGCTAAGGTGTTTGGTATTGCCTGTGATGTTTGTAAACCGGAGGACGTTAAGAAGTTGTCGAATTTCGCTGTCAAAGAGCTCGGTTCCATCAACATATGGGTAAAAAACATATTTCATTGGTACAGTTTCATAATTTTTGTTCCCTTTTGTCTCATAATATTTCTCACTGTGTTGATTCTTTGGACAGATAAACAATGCTGGTACTAACAAAGGGTTTAGACCATTGCTTGAGTTCACTGAAGAAGATATTAAGCAGGTAAAATTCTTTATGAATCTCAAGCTTAACTTTCGCTTGAACTATTGTGGAGTGATAAGGCCTGCGGGTTCGGTTAATTTGAGTTTTTTCGGTTCGGGCAGTTCGGCTAATTGAGTAGTTTGTTTAGTCGGGTAATGCGGTTTGAGAAAATTCTACCAGAAATTACCAAAACAAATTACGGTTGGGGTCAGGCATGGCCGCATGGGTGGTTAGGGTAATTAAATTATATTTTAAAAATTAACGAAAGTTTTCTTTTCCAGTTTCGGTTCAATTTAGTTTAAGCTGGATAAATTGGGGCAAATTCTGCTAGTTCGGGTCTTTGGTTCAAAAGATTTAATATATTTTTAATTAAATTCGGTATAATTTGGTATGGTTCGGTATATTTTGGTTAATAAATATAGTGACGACCGAACCAAGATAACGATTTGGTTTTGAAATGCTGCGGATCGGTTTAACCTATATGTAGTAACCAACCCAAAACCAAAAATGTCAGTTCGGTTTGGTTTGGAATTTACGGTTCGGGCAAAAGTGGTAGGCCTATTGGAGTTCCTCGGTTTTAATATTCAGAATTGTGCAGATTGTCTCCACGAATTTGATTGGATCGATTCTATGCACACGAGGGGCGATGGATGTAATGAGTAGACAGAGCAACGGTGGCCACATCTTTAACATGGATGGTGCTGGTTCTGGTGGTTCTAGCACTCCTCTCACGGCCGTGTAAGATAAACAAATCATTTGATACTCTGTTCTTTAAATTAGTGGAAACAAGTTTCTGAGTCTATTACCATCTTGATCTTTCTGTAGATATGGGTCAACAAAATGTGGACTTAGGCAATTTCATGGGTCTGTTGTGAAAGAAAGCCAAAAAACAAATGTTGGTCTTCACACTGCGTCCCCGGGCATGGTTCTGACCGAACTTCTTCTCAGGTATGCACTCGTACTAAAGGCCCAGATGTGTGAATTTTTAAAATTTTTGTCTGTGTTACAAATGAATTTTCAACATGTATTCCTAAAATGAAGTTGATTTTTCAACATGTATTTTAAAGATGTAGACGTGAGTGGGCATTTCGGTTTAATTTCATGTTTGGGTTGGGTTCGGTTCGGTTCTATTAGCTCGAATTTGATGAAAGGATAACCCCACACAACCAAAGTTAGTTTGTTTCGGTTTGGATCGGGTTTGGTTTGTAGAGGTTTAATTTGGTGGAAATAATAACAAATCAACCATAAGTCTTATATGTGAACCCAATTCTTAGATATTAAGATTGTAAAGAATTACACTAACTAAACTTTAACTATACTTAGAGGTGATATATTATTTACTAGGTGTTTTCCCGTATTTGTGCGAGTTTCGATTAAACTTTTTAAAAACTATAACATTTAGTTTATTTATAGAGTAAAAAAATCAGATTTTCTAATGATTCGAAACTAAAATTAATATATTTGAAAAAGTATAATTTTCATGAGTATATTATTTTTGTTATGATAATAGCAAAATATATTATTTATATTTTATTTTCTAATATCTTTTATATTATCCGATAAAAACTTATATGTATGCTTTGTTGTTTCGTTGTATTTATCAAACATGATAAATAATTCTTTTTTTTAATATAAATTGGTAGATTAAGATAATGAGGTTCAAAGTTTTCATAAAAAAAAATATACATAGTAATCCAAAATGACCAAAACCAAAAAATTCTTGTTTCATATCAATTTAACATTAATTATATATATATATAGTGTTAAAAGGATTTAAATGATTTAGGATTTTACTTGTTGATAAATCAATTAGGTTAGTCGATATTATTAAGTTAAACAGTCAAATTAATTTAGTTTAATGAAATAATTAAGATTTTTTTTTATTTATGCTAGTCATTTTTTTTAATAAACTAAATATTTTTATGATATAAAATCAAATTTGGAAATCTAGATTTAAAAAAAAATAAAAATCAATTAAAAGTTAGATTATATTAATTTGTTAATTTCATTAAAAGTAATTAAAGTAAATTTACATAAAAAGTAAAATGTAATCAACCATTATAATTCTCGACCACCGTCCAACTTGTTTGCCAATTAATAATATAATATAATTAATAAAATAATCATATCAGTTTTTCGGTTCTGTTTGGTTTTTAACGGAGCCGAAACATTTTCGGGTTGAGAGAAATATGGTTTTCTTTTGGGTCGATTTTAATTTGCTTTGTTTTGTTTTAGTTCCTTTTTTTTTGCCACCTGTAACGTGAACAAAAAATCAATATTTTGATCATTGATCATTTATTTGGCAGTGGTTCGAGTATACAAAACAAGCAGATGTTTAACATAATCTGCGAGCTTCCCGAGACAGTTGCTAGGACGCTAGTACCAAGGATGCGAGTTGTGAAAGGTTCAGGAAAATCCGTCGAATACTTGACTCCTCCACGGATATTACTAGCCCTCGTTACTTCCTGGCTTAGGAGAGGCCGATGGTTCGATGACCAAGTAAGTATCCAAGAGTGTTCAATTTGGGTTTTCGAGAAATCCTTAGCCTGTACTTACGCAAGACGTGTCTGTGTTTTGCAGGGACGGGCGTTATACGCAGCGGAAGCCGACAGACTAAGGAACTGGGCAGAGAACAGGACGAGGTTGTCGTTAACAGACGCTATGGAGATGTACACAGAGAATACTTGGGTCTCTGTTTTCTCTCTTTCTGTTGTTTGCGCCTTCATCATCTTATCAAGCACCACACCTAGCTCTTTCCCAGGGACATGACAAACATTGTGTTTAACTATTGTTTTTATGGGCTATGATTAAAATGTTTGTACATGTTATGTATGAAAGTCTTATGTAACGGGACCAATATGTGCAACTATTGTTCTCTCTTGTTACACGCTATTTCTACACGTGATTATAATAGTAGAATGTTTTGTTTAGTTGACGTTACGGAAGTTCATAAATGTATAAACAAAACGTAATTCACGGTTTTCACAAGTCCAGAGCTAAAATAAAGTAGCAAACATTACCGTGTTCTCAAACATCAAGCAAAAAAATACTCATCAAAACATCCCATCACATAGTTCCAGTTATTAGGTCATATTCATACGGTTTAGGATTTATTCAAATAGTGTATAAAGCCAATAATCAAGCCCTAGCAATCATATTAAATAGTTCCAGTTATTAGGTCACATTCATACGGTTTAGGATTTATTCAAATAGTGTATAAAGCCAATAATCAAGCCCTAGCAATCAAATTTAATAGTATATATCATAATCTATAATAAAATATTAGACGATTCATCAAGCTCGTCTTAAAAGAATATGATATGGTTTAATCCTAGACTAAATAAAGAGTACCGAGTTCTCATTACTTTAGGTGCGAGCAGCGATAACAGGAGGAGGGGGAAATATGAGGAGGTTGATTTGATTGGTGCTGTTGACATGGTAACTTAGTTGGTCTATGATTTGATCCTTTTATTCTCTCTTTTTTCTATAGTTTTGGTGATTTAATCTGTTAGAAGTTAAAACTGTAAAAGCCATAAATGCGAAAATTTATATATAATAACAAAATAATTTTTTAGGAACTGCTGATGTCATTATTTTTTTTATAGTAAAAAATTGATAAATCTAATGATTTATGTTGTTTTGATTAATTTTGATTTGAAAATTTAATAATTAGGATGTGGTTGCTGACATTATTTTTGTAGTTAAAAAAATATAGAGTTAATCTAACCTTCAATATTCTTTTTATTATTGAATGGTGAAAATTATATTTATTTTATTTATCCAACAGACACATATTTCAAACATTGCAACTTTTACAAATCATTATGATTCTTCATTTTTATTATTAAAAATATATCAATATAATGGTTAACTATCTTTGTTTTAAGTTTTAACAGTAAAAAATTAATTTATTATATTTACTGAACATATACACTATCAAAAAGTTGTAACTTTTGTAAATTATTGTGATATTTTAAAATTTAAAAGTTTGTATTCCAATCATTGTAACTTTCCCATTTGAAGATTATATAATATTTACTATTTTTACTTAACTTCTTTTAATAAAAAGAATTTGAGTTGTTTTGGTAACCGTCACGGCAAGCAATTCCAAATTAAATAGTCACGTTCGACCAAATAATTATTTTCCAATCAAAGTGTCGTCTCTTCATTATCCATTTCTTATAGTTTTTATACAAAGAAAACAAAGTAAATATATTGGAAGATTGTATATTGTTCATCTATTTTTTTTTTTATCAATATTACTTATTTATTACGATTTTTGAACAAAAAGTATTTTAAAATGTTTAGAACTTTAATATGATAATATAAAAAGCAAAACAACATGACAAATCTAACCATTGAGGTTGTTTTGATTTGAAAATTGAATGGTTAGAATGTGTCTGCTGACATCATTTTTTGTAGTTAAAAAGACATAGATTTAATACAATGGTTAATATTCTTTTCTTATTATTGAACGGTAAAGATTATATTTGTTTTATTTACCTTACAGACACCTAGTTAAAACATTGCGACTTTTACTAACCGTTTTGTTTTTTTTTGTTTTCATCGTTAAAAATATATTAATCTATTGATTAATAATCTTTGTTTTAAGATTTAATAATAAAAAATTTATTTATTATATTTACTGAGCAAATACACAATCGAAAAGTTGTAACTCTTGTAAATCATTGTGATTCTTTAAATTTAATTTTTTTTTATTCTAATCATTGCAACTTTTCACTTTAAAGTCTATATATATAACTCACCAATTTTACTTATTTTTTTTTATTACAAAAAATTTGAGTTGTTTTTGTAACCATCACGGTAAGAAATTCAAAAGTATAAAGATATATTAGTAGTTAGTCTTAAAATTTGCTTTATGTTCAACCAAATAATAATTTCCAAATAAAAGTGTCATCTCTGCATTATCCATTTCTCGTAGTTTTTCTACAAAGTAAATATATTAAAATATTGTATATTGTTCATTCATTTTTTTTTATCAATGTTATTTATTTATTACAATTTTTCGAACAAAAAGCAATTGAAAATGCTAAGAACGTTCATATGACAATTTATGTTACTTAGATTATATATAGATTACAGATGCCAAAACCTAAAAAAACTAAACCAAATATTAATTTTCCAGTCAAGTGTTGTCTTTTCATTATCCATTTCTTGTTGTTTTTCTACAAAGCAAAAAGGTAAATATATTGGAAGATTGAATATTGTTTATCCATTTTTTATCAGTGTTACTCATTTATTACAATTTTTTCAAACAAAAAGTAATTAAAATGCTCAAAACTTTATGAAAGGTATCTAGTTTTACCCAATTTATAGTACTATTGCAAGTGCACAACAATGCAATTGTAGCACAAAGGGTTATCGAATCTCAAGGGAGTAAGCTACTACACTATATAATTCAGATTCAGATTATGCTAAACGATAATAAATGAATAAAAAGCGAAATAACAAAGTAAATAAAAGCAGGCGATTTGATGATTTGTTCTAAAGTTCAGAGAGCTAAAAACGGTAGGTCAGGATAATTCGCAGGTTGAATCCGAGAATGTAGAATGCATGCAATCAGAAAATAATTTAAACCATCAAGAACTCAAAACACAATGAAATAACCAATCAATTCTCATTGCAAAAGTTATTAATGCCTAAATTCCAGAATTTCAAATCTCTTTGCAAATTCTAACAACTTAAACAAGCAGTAATCATCAGGTTTCGATTGTTCACAAAAATCTTAAATCAAATCTCACTGCAGAGTAATTTTGCTCATCTAATACTAGTTCAGGTGATTAACAATATTCTCACATCTATTAAACAACCTAGGGTTTCGATTTATAGATAATCAGTCTTAAAATCGATATGAATGCAAGTCTAGATGAAGATCCAATGGATTTTCCTAACAGTTTAACAATTCTACAAACTCTTCATCAACCTTTAACTCATCCTAACCTAACTGGCAGATTACTCATACATGATTATGAATGAACAAAACATAGCTGAATAATACTGCATATAAAAGATAAAAGTAGAGATACAATGGTTCGAAATCTTCTCTAAAAGAGTACATGATTTGTCTCCCTTAATGCTTTGAAATCATCCTCTCTCAAAAGCTCTATAGAAAAATAAGATACAAGCAAAAGAATGGCTGAAAAACCTAATATACAGACTAAAACACGAGTATGACACTTTTGTAAATAGTGGAACTTCTAGGACAAAAGTGCAAATTTTCTCTATCTTTTAACTAACACGAGACTCTTCCTCAGATATGGGTGACGAGCGTCACCCTTGGTTGGTGACGATCATCACCAGTGCAGAGTAACGCCTTCTTAGTTGCTTCATTCGGGAAGATCTCTTGCTTTGATCCAAAATGCTCCAAAACCTCCAATTGTGCTGCAAGCATGCAATAACCTGTAAAGACTCTACTAGGACTCTAAAAAGACCAAAAAGAGACTGCACATCTGCTGGTGCCTGGACCGGTGTACAATCCATTGTAAAGGAAGTCTCTCTCCTTGCCAGTTAGGTGTGAGGTTTCCTTCCTTGCAAAAAAATGTGTTTGCAAGCACCTTTTGTGCATATCTAACTGCAGGATGCTTCAAGTGTTGGTTTCTTGTAGCTCCAGCTCTGAATTCCCCTTCTCCAATTACCTCCCAAAACCTTGTGTACTGTGATTCATGGATTAAGAAATTCTTCCCTCTTTGAAAGTAGGTGCTTAGCCCCAGCGCTCTAGAGAGTTCTTGGAATGTGATTGTGAACCTCTGTTTTCCAAGCTTGAAAGAGATCCATCCATCATGGTCAGGGAGCTCACTCTTCTCATAATAAACCACCTTGAGGGTGGAGAGGAATTGATGAGTGAAACGCTCATAGGATGAGAGAGGCTATAATAACTTTGTAAGCCCTATTTCTTCAAAGGTGCAGATGCAGTCTTCATAGATTCCCAGCTCCTTCATTGTGGAGGTGCATGAGTATTTTTTGGCTTGAAGGTGCATCTACTGAATCCCTCCATGAGTTCCCTAGCACTGTATTTTATGGGTGGAACTTCTTCCTCAGCAGCTTTTCCCTTGCCTCTCTGCTTGGCGTTTTTATCTTCAGTTGGTCTCTTTCCAGCGACCTTAGATGAAGTCTCAGCAGCTTTGCCCTTTCCTTTTTCTTTCTTAGTTCTTGGTTGGATTGGTGCTTCCTGAGGTGCTTTTCCCTTTTTTCCAGCAGCTATGTTTGTTCTTCCCATGGTACCTTCAAAAGCAAAGCTTGAAAACAAGGTAAGTGAAAGAATAAAAGCTTAAGAACCAAATAGCTGAAAGCTTTTAATGGAAAAAATCTTTAAGCTAAGAAAAGTCTAACAAGTCCTAACAACAAGCTTAAACTTCTTCAAAGCAAGAGGAGATCAAAAGCTAGCAACTAAATAAGCTAGGATGAACAAAAGATAAACAGTTATGCATGACACTCTAGCAAAATGGTTCTTAGGCAAAAGAGATGATGATCTTGCAAATGGCTGAAGATAAACAAGCAATGAGGTAAATAGACATTAAACAAAACTTCAACATCTAGCTTGATATTTTAAAACAAATCCAAATTGCAAAACCATAGCACAACAATTAAAACTAAACACTACTTGCTCTTAAAAACATCTACTAAGCGATTTTGAACATAAGCAAAGAGTAAGAGCAAATAAAGATAGTTTAGGAAGCAGACCTTTAGTGGAGCCCTTGAACACTTAGAGAAAGCAATAAAAGAGAAAGAGAACTAATAATTTCGTGCTTTAGGTGAGAACAAGAGTGAGTTTAAGTGTGAAGAGAAGTGAATGAAATTGTTGCTTAAATAGAGAGAAAAGAGAGGAAACCAAAGGAATCAAAGGTTGGTGAGGGAACATAAGGAATCAAAAGTGTGGGGGACAAAAACAAAAGTGTTCAGAAGCTAAGAAAGAGGTCAGAAAGAATCCCATTTAAAAATTTAAACTCCCTTGGCTCCAAACCAAAGGAGGCAAATTTTTTTGAAAGTTGAGATACTTACTTCAGAT